TCCTAATTAGTCAAGTGACCATATGACCCAAATTGGCCAAGTCACCATATAACCCTAATTGGCCAAGTTACCATACAACCCTAATTGGCCAAGTCACCATACAACCCTAATTGACCAAGTTACCATATGACCTAAATTGGCCAAGTCACCATATAACCCTAATTGGCCAAGTGACCATGTGACCCAAATTGGCCATATGACCCAAATTGGCCAAGTTACCATATGGACCAAATTGGCCAAATCACCATACAACCCTAATTGGCCAAGTCACCATACAACCCTAATTGACCAAGTTACCATATGACCCTAATTGGCCAAGTCACCATATTACCTTAATTGGCTAAGTCACCATATGACCCTAATTGGCCAAGTGACCATGTGACCCAAATTGGCCATATGACCCAAATTGGCCAAGTTACCATATGAACCAAATTGGCTAAGTCACCATATGACCCAAATTGGCCAAGTGACTGTGTGACCCAAATTGGCCAAGTCACCATATGATCCTAATTAGTCAAGTGACCATATGACCCAAATTGGCCAAGTCACCATATAACCCTAATTGGCCAAGTCACCATGTGACCCAAATTGGCCAAGTCACCATACAACCCTAATTGGCCAAGTCACCATACAACCCTAATTGACCAAGTTACCATATGACCCTAATTGGCCAAGTCACCATATTACCTTAATTGGCTAAGTCACAATATGACCCTAATTGGCCAAGTGACCATGTGACCCAAATTGGCCATATGACCCAAATTGGCCAAGTTACCATATGACCCAAATTGGCCAAGGCACCATATGACCCTAATTGGCCAAGTCGTCATATGACCAAAATTGGTCATGTGACCATATGACCCAAACTGACCAAGTCACCATATGACCCTAATTGGCCAAGTAACCATATGACCCTATATGGCCAAGTGACCTTGTGACCCAAATTGGCCCCGTAACCATATGACCCAAACTGTCAAATTCTTTTATATGTCCGAAATTGGCCAAGTCACCATATGACCCTAATTGGCCAAGTGACTGTGTGACCCAAATTGGCCAAGTCACCATATGATCCTAATTAGTCAAGTGACCATATGACCCAAATTGGCCAAGTCACCATATAACCCTAATTGGCCAAGTTACCATACAACCCTAATTGGCCAAGTCACCATACAACCCTAATTGACCAAGTTACCATGTGACCCAAATTGGCCATGTGACCCAAATTGGCCAAGTTACCATATGAACCAAATTGGCCAAGTCACCATACAACCCTAATTGGCCAAGTCACCATACAACCCTAATTGACCAAGTCACCATACAACCCTAATTGACCAAGTTACCATATGACCCTAATTGGCCAAGTCACCATATGACCTTAATTGGCTAAGTCACCATATGACCCTAATTGGCCAAGTGACCATGTGACCCAAATTGGCCATATGACCCAAATTGGCCAAGTTACCATATGAACCAAATTGGCCAAGTCACCATACAACCCTAATTGGCCAAGTCACCATACAACCCTAATTGACCAAGTTACCATATGACCCTAATTGGCCAAGTCACCATATGACCTTAATTGGCTAAGTCACCATATGACCCTAATTGGCCAAGTGACCATGTGACCCAAATTGGCCATATGACCCAAATTGGCCAAGTTACCATATGAACCAAATTGGCCAAGTCACCATATGA